TTTAAATTATATCTTTTGACAGAATGTCACGGAAAGCTAGATCATGGAAACAAAATTTTACCATAAAACAAATGCACTTATTTTTTTAATAAAATTTTAATTAAACTTTTTTATTGGGTTAATTTTGATTTTTTTTAGCTAAATAAAAGTAGAAAAATTATAATATGGTATTGCCTTCGTGTCCATAATAATTTAGGGAAATAAACTACATATATTTCAATATTTTCCTAGCATTAGCAAATAAGTAATTTTTCAAATAGAATAGCAAAAATACTTTTGTGGAATGTACATATTATAAAGCTGTCATTTAAAGAGCTTAGTTAATTGAATCATAAAGAGTATTCAACTGCTATAATGTCGCCATCTTCATTTATGTTTGGAGATATTTGTAAACACAATACGAGTATAAATGTGTCCCATTACTCAGTACATTTTTATTTTTATAAAAAAAATAGCAGTGATAATACACGATAGTACAAACTATCTGCCTTATTTTTTTGCGGAATTTTTATTAAAAGTTCGCACAGCACACATATATTGATTATAAACATTCGTGTAGAAACTACAAATGATTTGCAATAAAAATATGCAAATTATGACTAAAATCTATTGTTCATAAATTATACCCTCTCGTTCTATTATGATAAAATTGTTTGGTTTTTCCGCGTTTATTCTAAAAAATTGTTGGAATAACAATAATTAAAATATCCTTACCTTTCAATAATTATAAAAATTACCAATACTTTCAAAAGTAATTTTTTTAATTACTGACAGCAGTGACAGCATGTAGATAACAATTTTTCAATATTAGTGTCTAATTTCACATATATTATAATAAATTATTCAGGTAAATTTGTCATCGATGAACTAAATAAAGATTAACACAGGGCCTTCGGCAATACCCATTTCCCACGTGATCTGAACATCACAAAATGCTTCAAAAGTGCCTGATTTTGTTACTTTTATATCAACTGTCAACTTCAGTTCTGTCAGATATGTCACTGGCATTCATTTGCGGATTAAGAGGTTTTTAGATATTATTTGCATTTTATCAACGCTTTTATTTAATTGTTCATAAAAAATGTTCCTAAAGTAGACCTTGGTAAAATTCACCTACATTCAATTCTTCTTTTTTTTAAGTTTGAATTTAATTTAGAGCCCTGCGTAGGTATCATAGACATGGCTTGTATCACGGTTCGTAGACAACACGGTGGCCTCATCACGGTTGCTAAGGACGCAATGACGTCACGGAATGATAAAGTGTGTTGGCAGAAAAAATTTTACTTGGTGTCGTACATTTTTAAAATTCTAATATTTTATTGTTATTTAGTGGTTTATATTTTTATTTTTGAACTTTGTTGTGGTACTTTGTTCTGGTGTGATTTTTTGAAAGACAAGCTACAAAACAGCAAGGAAAAATCATGTAATGATTTCCATCTATTTTACTCTCAAAGTTCAACGTCAGCTGTCAATGTGACATACTAATACCACAGTTTATAGCTAAAGAATCAGTTCGCTCACTCTGCGTCGGCACTTTTGATCTCAATGTTCCAGTTTATATAATGCGCAACTCGGATTTGTATCCCTTGCGCATACAGAATCAAATCAAAACCAATACAATATATGAAAACCGCCTATATTCAAAGAGCAGTCTTCTGCGCATCCTGAATTTGTATCCTTGGAGTGGATGTTATTTTGGAACATCCAACTGGTCCGAGTGAGCTAACTGATTCTTTAGCAATAAACTGTGCTAATACTTAAAACCTAATCTTACTTATCAGTAACAACCGTATAAGATTCTTCCATATTAATAGTATGCACGGGAACCAAATAAAAAGCATTTTACTTACGAATTAGTCACAATTATCTTATTATCGATTTAAATCACCTCACGCGCATGCCCGATCCACACTCCACTCCACGAGCCCCGAACGGTCAAAATGGAACTTTTATTTTAACTCCTTCCGTTCCCGAACGCCTTAGGTACTTTAGGAGTGAATATAGTGAAAAGAGTGCATTGCCCGAACTCATCTTCTAAATGTTTTTGTGGTTCACGCTGAAGTTTCCGTTTTATTATAATATATGCTTGATATTTCCAAGAATGTTTGTCATTATACAGGGTGAACCTTAAATCGATAGAAAGTTATAGAATAAAAAATCTAAAGCTGGTCGTGGACTTGTGTACGAAAATTTATATACGAATTATTTATGTTTTTATCTGTTTTTCTTATGAATATGATTCACGACTATTGTGATGCAGTCACCTGATTTCGGTTAGTATCAGTAGTGTGTTTATCTGTTAAGTATGGTAAATGGAAAATGAAGTGCGTTTAGAACACTTTTTAAATAATGTTATCGAGGACTTGTTGTTGGATAAGTGTGCGGGTCAGTGTATATCAGGTGGGATAAGTCAAAATAAAGTGTGGACAAGTTCGGGAAAATCAATTGTATCCCTTTCACGTTCTTCTTGAACATTTCCCCGCAGAATTAATTTTTGTGAATTATTCTTACGACATGAGTAAAATCAAAACTTGTCGACGAAAGTTATACAGGACCGTATTAGATTCATTTTGGAAAAAATTATAGTAAGTTTCTTATTTTTGAGTTTTATTTGAAAAAGTTGTTTATTTTATTGACTTCTATACACAGTTAAATAAAAGATCAATTAAAGACACCCTTTATAAAAGTAATATCACACTGTCATTATTTGAAAATCGATTTAAGACGGATTTGTTTTTATAAACATTGTTTAATCGATAAAAAAATGTCAATGGAATATTTGACACCGTATGCATAGCTTTTAAAAATAAAAATATTTTACCTCTTTTCCAAAGTAAAGAAACATAAGAGTATCCCGTTATACATATACAAATATGTCAACACTATCTGAAATGTGAATTGGCGAGCTAATTGAAAATGACAATTCTTTATTGTTGACATTTTTCATTTAGTTTGTTATTTAGGTTAGTAATTATTTGCGAATCATTGTACATTTAACAAAAATGTAAATTAAATAGAAAGTGACTATTAAAATGGTGGAGGAGAAATGATAAGCTGGCCCAGGAAACTGTAATTACCGTCCCGGTCCAAATTTCGGAAAATATCCCTAACTTCCGATAGGGCCCATCCGCTCCTGTAGTAGGCTACTCCGAGATAAAACCATTGTATCATCTTTTATTATTTCCTTTTTATTTTCTTCTTACTTTTCCCTTTTTTCTCTCTTTTTGTTTTCTTCTCCTTCTTTCTTTACTTGTTTCCTTTTCTTCTTATATATATAAACCCATTTATTTCATTCTGATATGATTTAGGAGGTCCGTATTTATAAACCGGATTTAGCTGATTTTGTCCTTGAACAAAAATCGAAGTTCGTTTAAATCGCGTAATTTAGAGATGGGTAATAACAAATCTTTCAATTTACTTAACAGTTGCAGCTTTGGTACTGTCCATAAATTCCAGTGCAACACTGGAACCACCTGGAACTCTAAAGAAGTTATAGCCGAATTTCTACTTTAGTTCAAGAATGACTCAGCCATGCCCGACTCAGCTGAGATTAGTTTGTAAATACGGGCCTTCTCCAAATCCATACATAAAACTTGTAAAATTTATTCTAATTAGTTAAAAATTGTATAATGCTTTGTTGTTGAATTTAAAATGGTTTTAAAGTTAATACACTGTGAAAAGTAATATGTGAACTTTGAATTAAACTCCAAACTCCAACTTCAAACTAGTAGTTTTACCATCAGTGAAATAAGACAGATGATATTTATTGGTACTAACCTACACAGGTAATTCTAGATCTATCGCAGAGTCCGCCATGCATAAACTATTAGGCATTTATGTTGGTACTTCGAGCCGGATTTACATTTTGCTTCTTCGATAGTCTTTTTATTCCACATTTTGTTAGTCCTTCGTCACCGGATACTTTATTTTTTGGCCAATCGAGCCAAATATATTTAAAAGTTCTTCGCAAAACTTTGTAATTAAAAAGTGCCGTATTAAACGAATTTTGTATAATCGACATAAACACATAGTACATAATAATTAAAAATTTATTTAGCAAGGAGACGATTTGTTTATCTGAATTTAATATTTTTAAATATTTCTAGTTTAGGGTACAAGTAAATTATAATGCTTAATAAAAACGATTTTATGCATTTTTTGATACTATCTTCATTTCATGAAATATAGTCATTGTAGGGTTTGAAATAGTAGACTGATATGGTCTACATATACATTCATTCCGCAGTTTGTGCAGAAAATAAATAATATGCATGAGAGTATAGAAAATTTATCCATATCGGTTTATAAAATAATTTACGTGTAATCGTTTAAAAGATGACAAAGGGAAAGATATTTTAGACGCGCACTGTATAACCGCGAAACAGATAAAATTACATTAGAATTAATTTCTTTTAGAACTAGATATTCCACATTTATCTAATTTATAAAATAGTTGCAACTACGACATAATTTTTATATTTTTAACCTTCAACATGACAGTGAATGCATATTTCTTTTTTTTCTGATGTATTTTTTGTATCGTAGATTAACGGCATTTTTGTGTGTAAAAATTCCTACATATACCGAGTGTTTCTCAAACATTTATGTACCTAATGTTAAAAGAAATTGTATATACTTTATAAGGCGTTTTTATATAATAAATAAATATACGGACTTAAAAAAGAAGTAATGTTGTATTTTATATATGTATTATAGCAGAAAAATTTTACCACATTTTAATTATCGAATTAGGAATATATATTTTTTTTTTTATATTTCTAAACCCCATCTCACTCGAATTTCTCTTTTTTTGTTATGTGAATTGCTAAAGTACTCGTTTCTTGGGTAAAAAGAGTTGATTACAGCACTAAAGTGATAAAGTCACAAATTAGAAAGGGTTCAAGACCATCAGGATTAAAAAGAGCGAAATTTAATATTTTTTTTTATTTCAGTCAAGCGCAGATTTGATTATCACTTACGCTATTTTTTTTTTTTTTAAGGAAAATGGAAGGTTCCTGTCCGATTTTGGATAGGACTGATGGTGTTCCTTACCACATACATCAACTACACAACACGAGTGAATATGTCAATGAGTATTATATCAATGACCAAAGGAAAATCAAAAAGTACGCCAGAATGTATTCTACTGCATCAACAGGAAGAAGATGCGGCAAAGTTGGCACTGAACTCATCATATCAAATAGTGAACAAGACAATGAACAAAACATTGGCTAATGTAAGTATTAATAATACTTAAGTTTTTTCTACTTCCTATAGTATCAAGAAAAAAAGGTTACTATTAATTTCTACATATACCACTAGGTCTCTTGGCCATACTATACATGGCTACCTTAGAAGAACACCGGCGCAACTCAAAAAGTACGAATTTCGAGATAAGACCTTCCAAATTTTTTTTTATCGATAATACCAACAACCCTTAAGGGCTTGGAATTGTGACATTGTTGATGAAAAAAAAAAACATACATTTTAAGTTTTATGTCAAATGAAGACAAATAAATGGTACAAACTGCAGATGCTGTCGAACTGCCTAATTTTACTTAAAGTCGACTCGAGTAGCAATTGGCACTCCATTTCCGCCCTTACATCCATCGTAAATGTTTTTTATTTGTTTTTTAGTTTGGGGAACGATACGATTGGGACGAACACGTGCAAGGTCAGATATTAGGCAGCTACTTCTGGGGCTACGTGATAACTTCCCTGCCAGGTGGAGCTGCATCAGAATGGTGGGGTCCTCATAAAGTAATCTTCTGGATGACATTGTTATCCGGGATAATCAACACTCTCAGTGTACCAGCCGCTTGGTACCACTTTGGGCTATTAATCACCTGTAGATTCTTATTGGGAATATTTGGGGTAAGCATAAATACTCGCAGTTCTAATATACCACTATCAAATATAAAAAACACGCCTGGTCATCGAGATAGAATGAAGTAAAGACGACATAAACACTATTTAGCGTATGACAGGTGAACGCACTTCGATTGATGAAAAGTGTAATCAAAATGGTGACTAGCGCCGTACTTTGATTTATTTAAAGTCAATAATTTTATATTTAAAGATTGAAGGAATTAAAATGTTTTTTTATCATTTATTTAACAAAAATGGCATTTATTCTCACCAAAACTGACTATCTCAACTAGCCCGAGTTTGACATATTATGAAGTAAAAGTGTAAGTTTTTATGTCGTCATAGCATCCCCTTTATTATATCTCAATGCCCCTAGTACAGGTTTAAACTACAATGGAAACAGCTTAATTATTTATCTGCTATTCATCGTTAATACCCCGTTTATATTATTTAAACCGTAAAATATGTGTTCATTTTAGGGTTTCGTTTATCCTGCTGTACAAGTACTGATTGCAAAATGGGCACCTCCTGCTGAAAAGGGAAAATTTGTAGCTGGTTTGATGGGCAACACTTTAGCCACTTGTATAACATGGCCTCTGGTAGGAGGTGTAACGTCTTCTGTTGGCTGGGACTGGGGCTTCTACGCTATCAGCATTCAATGTTTCGTTTTCTGTATAATTTTCTGGTTTGTGGCTGCCGATAGTCCAGACGATCACAAGTTTATAACACAGGAGGAAGTTTCGTACATTAAAGAGGCTCAAGGAGGTTCAGTGACAAAGAAAAAAGTAAGTTAATTTTTTATTGCAAATTATCTACAACTAAACAAGATCAATTGAATAAAATATTCCCATTATTGAGCATATTTTCTACGACTATAATACAAAACTTCAGTTTGTCAACTATTGTTGATTAAGAAATGAGGCACATTATTTTCTTATTTGTTAATTCTGATAACACAAAGTAATCATTTCCGTATCAGATTCTTACCTGATACCACAAAATTGTTATTCCCTAAGAAACGTGTGTGCAGAGATAATATGTCCCTAATCTCTGCATGTGTGCTTGGGCACGGTGGTGTAGCGGTCTATCGCGCTTATATTCATTTATAGGCAAGTTTATGAGTCTGAGACTGCTGGGTTTCGAATCCCAGACCAGACCATGTGGATTTTTAATTAAATTGCATGGTTCGGTTTAGGATTTGATGTGTGGCGTATTAATAGAAATTCAATTTCTGTTGATATGACATGCAGATTAAAAAAATTCGCCATACATTACCGTCTCGATGATGGTGGGTGAGGTTTTCCGGGTTTTCCTCACCTGTAAGTCAAATGGCACCATCAATCATCTTTAAGTCGCCCCGGAGCGCCACGGCAAATAATAATAATAGCCGTCCCTTTCCCCGGACAAGCTCAGCTTTTGGGGTTAAAATTCACTCGTAAGGGGGTGAATTAGGGAGAGTATTATTATATATATTAGACATAGAAGAGGCGTTTGACAACACGCCACACGAATCTGTCAAAAGAGCAATAGCATACAGAAGCGTAGATAGCATCACATCCAGATGGATGGCTCAACTCCTATCTACGAAAAATGCAGAGACACAGATATGGCAGGACACATCTTCATCTGGACTACCAGAGGATGTCCACAATTAGGAGTTTTATCTCCACTAATGTGGAGCCTAACCTATGCAGACTGACTGACCTTGGCATACCCTGTTAATGTTATGCCGACGTCATAGTCATATTTGCTAGAGGCAAGTTTGGGATATCCTGTTTGATATAGTTAGAGAGGACTAGAATACACTAAAAGATGTTGCCAAGAGGTGGGACTTATAAAACCCCACCAAAACAACACTAGTAGCATTTTTAAAGAAAATAAATTTTAATCTTAAAACCGTCAAATTAGACGGGATAGATATAGAACGGAAAAAGAAGTCAAATATCTAGACTAAACCCTGGACAACAAACTTATTCTCTGGAACATACGTGAGAAGGAAGTAAATAATGCCACAAAAGCCCTAATGGTATGCAGAAACATTGCGGGTAAAAGATGGGGATGTACCTAACCCGAACATACTGCGATGGATGTGGTCCCGGTCAATTGTTCAAAAAGCATTGATGCAGTAGAATAAAGTATTTTAAAAGGAAAATAAAGGAACATATATTTATACAGGGTGAGTCGGGAGGAGCGCACCAAACTCTAGGAGTATATTATTCACGTGAAAATAATGTTCTTATCCGATTTTCATTTGTTTTTAAGTTATAGCATATTAACAAATAAACAAATTTACACATAAAAATTCTCTTAATCATAGCTTTCTTTCAATAAATGTTCAAAAATACCGCCATTGACTTCTAAACATTTTCTGCTTCGTCTGCGAAGAGCGTTTGTTGCTCTCCTAATTGATTCATTTCTTTCTTCTTTAATATGGGCTGCAGTATTCTCAATTCGTCTAATTAGTGCATCCCGTGTGTCCACTTTTATTTTGTAGACTTCATTTTTCATCCAACCCCATAAACAAAAATCTAATGGTGTGAGGTCTGGAGATCTTGCAGGCCAATTAATAGGACCTCCACGACCAATCCAACGCCCTGGAAAACGTTCGTCCAAATGTTGCTTGACCTGCAGGAAGGAGATCCATCGTGCTGATAGTACATCTGCATTCTAATATTTACAGGAACATCCTCTAGCAGTCCTTGTAATTCATTTTGTAAAAAATTGAGGTAGTTGTCTCCTGTGAGACGATTCTCCAAAATGAAAGGGCCAATTAAATAACTGTCAACCATACCACACCACACGTTTATAGAAAACCGATGTTGAAAATTGCTTTCGACTGTTGCGTGGGGATTTTCGTCTGACCACACATGATAGTTACGAGTATTATTAATACCATCACGGGTAAATGTAGCTTCATCCGTAAAGAGTTTACTCGATACAACACGATGATTATTATTTATCCACCGATAAAACTCCATACGGTTAGCGTAATCCTGTGGTTGTAGGTGCTGTACTCTCTGTACGTGATAAGGATATAAGCCTTGCTCGTGGAGTGTGTTTATCACTCTTTTTTGTGGAATTCCCAATTGAGTGGCAATTCTCCGTGAGCTAGTAGTTGCATCTTCTTCTACTAGATACAGAATATTTTCTACTTCTACAAAACCTTGTCGAGTAGCGCGTTCAGATGTTATGATAGCACTGGGAAGCTTACCAGTCTCGCACAATTTGTTGAAAACTCTAATAAATACGTTTTTATCAGGATGTCTTCTGTGTGGAAAACGTTGACGATATTCTTCAGCAGCAGCTGTAGTATTTCCATTACAGAAACCATAAACAAACACCATATTTGCATATTCTAAATTTGAATAAGTATCTGGCATTTTGCAACACTAACAATTACATAAATTCGAAATTAAACGTTCAGTTACTGTTCACTGTATACTGACAGTTCATCAAAACGTCAGAATTATCAAAAGCCTTTGAGCCTTGAACATATGGCATACTTTGATAATGTTAAAATTCAGAAGTGGAAAGCTAGATGAACATTTTTAATTACGCCATAACTTGAAAACAAATGAAAATCGGATAAGATCATATGAGTTTTTTTACATTATTTTCACGTGTATAATATACTCCTAGAGTTTGGTGCGCTCCTCCCGACTCACCCTGTATAAATTATTAACCAATTTGAAAGAAAGCTTGGGAAAGATCTTCTAGATCATTATTTTACGTTTTCTCGATTTCATTAAAATAATTAGGAAATGACTACTTTTTGTTATCAGATAAGGATTATCAAAGGGGGCGTCCATTAATTACTTGAGGTGCTCGAGGGGGGGGGGGAGGGGATCAAGTTAAATCTTTCCAAATCTCACTTTGTAAATCTGGCGTATTTTTTTTAGTAGAAAACGGTGTAAAATTGCGTGAAAGTTAATAAGTTAAATTAAAATAAAGAATGTTTCTAGAAATGTTATATTACGCCAATATTCTCAAATACTAGTCTTTGCTAGTCTTAAATAAAAGTTGTGTTTTTGTTTTTTTAATAATCCAACGCATGTACACCCAAAACACAAATTTTGAAAAATCTCACGTGATATTAGGGGAGGGGGGACGAGGTTGAGGAAAATCTTACGAAATCTCACCAGGGGAGGAGGGAGAGTCAAAAAATCCTCAAAAATACCTCACGTAATTAATGGATGCCCCCAAATAGATATTACCTCATTTTTTAAATAACAATAGTTGTTGTGAAAGTGTAGTTTTGTATTATAGCCGTATAAAAATATTATTTACCTTCTACACGTCTAATCTTACTAGCCATTTCATAGATTGTATACGATTTTTTGGAAAACAATAATTATTATGTCGTATATTTTTTAGCACACACCTCCATACCTTTCAATCATGAAAAGTGTACCATTTTGGATGTTGACCGTTCTGCATTTTGGAAATTTGTGGGGATTATACTTGCAACTCCAAAGTGTACCAAAGTTTATGGCGGAAGTAGTAGGATTTAATTTGAAGCAAGCGGGAATACTCGCGGCTTTACCTCATTTGACAAGGTTATTCTTCGGTACTGCTTATGGATCTATCGGGGACTGGCTGAAATCAAGGAAGATATTATCGCCCAAAGCCATAAGAAAAACATTCGTTTTGTTTTGTAAGTAATACCATCTCAAATAAGATATCTAAGTAAATTATTTTTTAAATATGACATTTACTCACAAAAAATGACGCCCTCCTTTTATAGTTTAGTCACAGATCCGGAAAAAGATCAAACTGTCGCGCCAAATTATCATTTTTCAATCTCAATACACTTTTACTACTTTTAAAAAGGAGCGCTTTTAAAAATGGTGCTGGACAAAATAGCGCGGGACTTATAGCGCTTGGACAAAAGAGCGCGTCACAAAATAGCGTTTGCCCTTAAAATCGTGTGAATAAGCGTGTGGCTAAAAAACGCATGTGTTAATAGCGTGTGGTCAGCAATAATAGCTCCAAACGCGCTTATATATTAAGAACGTTGATAAATTGTATGGAATACATTCGATAACTTTCATTATTTAATAAATGTACCTGTCTGAGGATTTTCTTATGAAAGTTATTTAACGTATTCCATACGTTATCAGCGTATTGTATAATAAATTTTATTTATAATATCGTCGCTAAATGGATTATCAAAAAGCTTTAAAAAACGATGATTTGTTATGTGTACAATATTTATAATTTTAGAAAAATCACATAAATAATAGAAAATTAGAAACAAATAAATGTTAGAACAAAACTTAATGTTGCCACGGACATAAGGGCAACGAAAAAGCTGATTTACCAGCCCGAGAAGAAGCTTCAAAAGCTTTTATTGGCCCAGAATCCTTGTGTTGTTAAAGACAACTATCGGAACATGCACAAAGCAGTGGATGTTTAAAAAATCTCAGGAATGGTGGAAATATTCACCAGGACAGAGATAGGCCAAAGAGTTCTTGAAAGGACCATCTACTAAGCCTTAATAAGAAAAATACTAGAGTACTAGTAGGTCTATTAACAGGACATTGTAGGCTTATTAAACATATCTATAATATCAGTCTGACAGAAGAGACCTTGTGCCGATTCTGTCAGGAAGAGGAGGAAACTGCAGAACACGTATTGTGCTACTGCGAAGGTCTATCAAAATTGAGATTCCTTAAACCAAGGGCAACTAGCTACGCCGGACAATTACTTCCTAATCTATGGAGTCTACTACAAAGACCGAATTAAACAAGGTACTCTAAACAAAGATTAAAGGATATCCACAATAGATCTGAAATGGTTGAGACGTGGGAGGCAACATGTCCCACAGTGGTAATTAAATCTAATCTAATCTAATGCTAGCCACATTTTTTATTTGTTTAATTAACAGGAGCGAATTAAAGACTAATGAAATTAATAAACTTAAGAGTCAGATTATACGAAATAGACATTAAATATTCTTCAGTGTAGTTCAGTGTAGCAAAAGTTAGCTAGTTAACTGTTAATTCGGCAGAAAGATTGTACTTAAATATTTTGTTTCGTAAAAGCAGAAATAAAATCACGGTCGTAGAAAAAGTTATCTGGTTAACTATCTAGTCGGTATTGAAACTGAAACAAACCTCCTTGTGTTAGTGAATAGGGAATAGATAAATGTGGTAAGAAAACGGGATAGTATCAATCCTATGAGGAGTGTACTCGCCAAAACCAGCCCGCTCAACATAAAAATGATACTATCATTTTAATTACGGGGCGGAGGTAACTAAAAAAAATAATCAAAAACCGGGTTAGTATTTATCCTATGATGAGTGTACTCGCCAAAACCAGCCCTCTCAAACATAAGAAAAACACTAATATGTTAATCACGGCTAGGGGTTAATCTAAAAAAAAATCTAATACCGGGATAGTATCTAATCCCATGTGAGCTTTCTCGCCAAAACCAGTCCACTCAACATGAAAAATGATACTATTTCAACTTTCGAACTAATTCTATTCCCAAGTAAAGAAACATAAATGTAAAAAAAAAAGTTAAACCAGATTGTGAATAAATAGAAACAAAATTTATGGTCGTAGTAAAAGTTAAGTAATTAACTATATACGGAATTTAATTTAAATTTAAATTTATTATTACTTAAAATAGAAACAACATCCACGGTCGCAATGAAAATTAAGTAATTAACTGTATACGGAATTTAATTTAAATTTAGGTTTACTATTACTCTAAAATAAAAACACAATCCACGGTCGCAATAAAAATTAAGTAATTAATAAAATAGAAACAAAATTTCTACATCCTAATAACCAAAACTAATTTCCAATGTTTCTAAATAAAATCAAAACTAAATAATTTATCTGAAAATCAAAATATTTTTAACGAAAATCTAAAGTCAATTATTATTTCTATTAAATAAAATCGAAAACGGAATAATTTAATCAAATAAAACTGGTATTCGAACGTTTAGCTCAAGAACCGACGACAGAAAAAAAACGTAAACATGAATTCGGTGTACCTAACTACGGTCTCGGCAATGATTTTACGGCGTATAACGAAGCAGACTTAACGAGGTCGGAAAAATGAAATCAAGCTAGTCGAATGATTTTGAATGAATTGATTTTCATACTCTCTGCTGAATCCCAGTCTCTATGCCCAAGCAGGCTGGCCCCCACTCGGTGTGCGCGGATTGCCCGCGCTATCGTTACTCAGGTATAATACGCGAATTTAAATGAAACAAAATTTGATATACAGGGTCTACCCATGAAGTTAAAATAAAATAAAAATAAAAATTTATATCCGGAATAGGCCGAAATATAGTAATGAAAATTGACTTCATTACATAGTCGAGTAAAGATGAATTTTTTAAATTTACTTTAATACTAGCGATAGACGGAAGTATTGCTCTTGGCCTCGACCGTGTCTCCTTTATCAATAGTTTGACTTCGTTTTTAAAACTAGCAACTTGATTCTTAGCAGGAAATGGAGCATGATTGTGACTAGTAACTGCGGTTTTTTATTATTAATCTACTTTTGCATCCCGCTTTGCAACTCCTCCACGTAGTTGAACTGTAATGTTATTTGCCTTTTCGGTACCTATATCCCTTGTAAATTAAGATTTTTGTTTTTCTGAGGTACTAAGTTTTCCATTATTTATATTCTATGACGCTGTTGTTTTAATGTTTCCTTCTACCTTTTTTTTATTTTTATTTTTGTGCTATTTTTTTTTTTGAACAGCTGTATCTAAAGTCTAAAAACAAAAGTATTTAAATATTTATTGTCATGGACAACGAATAATAGATTAACTTGAAAAAACTGAAAGTCTGCGAATAAATCGTTATTTGATCTTTCTATGGTAAAATTTGATAACATTGAACGCAGACCCTAGCATTAAACTACCTTATTTTACATGGCGCTTTTTACAGATATGCTTTATCTTCTTGTCGTTATTAAGGAACACGCTCTTTTTTCCTAGCTCTAATAGGTTACGCTCGTATATCCTGGTGGTATTATAGGACGCGCTGTTTTGTCACACGAAATTTTGTTCAACGCCGTTTTTGAAAGCGCTTTTTTTTTAACAGAGCATTTTTTGTGGCTTACTTCATGAATGCATATTATTTTTTCAGCTCATGTCATTCCTGGAATATTGCTCATAGGCATTGCTTTAACCGGATGTAACTGGGTACCAATAGTTGTCATGTTGACCTTCAGTATGGCCATTAACGGTGCAGCTGTGTTGACTAATCTACAAAACCCGCAAGACTTAGCTCCAAATTTTGCCGGATCCATTTTTGGAATCATTAGTTTCATAGGCGGAATGACAGGTTTCATAGTACCGGCCATAACAGGGGCATTTATCGCTGAACACGTAAGTAACTTTTTACAGGAATAACATTTTTGGATTTTATTTCTAAAGCCTAGTAAATTTAAAAACAACCTTTTGTGCATTTTTATTCTGAAAAAAAAACATGAAAAAACAATAACAGCTTTTTTCTATTGTTAATAAAAAAGAAATAATAGATTACACGTCCAGGCATTTTTTTTACTGTATAATCTGAGATTTGTATGACTCTCTGTCGTATAAATTTCATTATTAATTTATAAATCATGTTTTTCAGAATGGAACAAAAGAATGGGGTTACAATTTCATGCTTGGAGGAGGAGTCTACATTGTTTGTGGTGTCATATTTATACTCTTTGGATCTGTGGAAGAACAAAAATGGAATAGAGTTGCAGATCAAGAAGATGCAACAGCAGAAACAAAATAAATATATTTTTCGATATATTTAAAATGTGAAAAATTTACCGTTTTTATTCAAATATGGTTGTTACAAGCCAATATAAATGACTGATGATTGAATAATGTGTTTTATATGTTTCTTGTCTTTCAGACATACACTTCTCCGTACAAAGCTTTATAATATTTACCTCTTTAAATGTACCTAAGACAATATATACGTATATATTAAAAAAGTATAAATCATATTCTAGTGTTTATTTTTAGATTAGTAGTGACCTCAATCCAAGTAAAAGAAATTTGAAAATTGAAACATTTTTTCATATTTTTATGCAGTTACATATAACAAATAACAACGGATTTTGGAGGAATCAAGGTTACTTGTACTTGCTCGACAGTTTCCTTTGTCTGGTCACTCACTTGAGTTTTTGGATGAAACCAAATAATTTTTTTTAATAATTCTCTGTGAACAGGTATAAAGAGATGCTATTATGATGATACTAAAATTAATTAACCTCTCGTTCTTCGAGCATTTTGCAGTACCGGCTTTGTCGTTCTTAACAGAGACAAAATGTCTGCGTTGCAATGGAGACAGCCTCTGCGATGCTCTACTTCCTGGTTATTGCTAGGTGTGGGTAATCGGCTTCTCCGAGATGCAGGATGTTTAAGATTTGTGAGAGATCAGGTTATGGAATAGTATTAGTATATGGGTCTCTTCACTTTCCTGGAATCTAATTTGTTAATTATTTGGTATTAACATCAATGTTTTTAACAAAAAAATTCTTTTATCCTTTTGACGCTATTTATTCAAAAACTGACAACTATTCAAAAAATTATTATATCAAATCATAGTATGTAATAAATATATATACAGGGCATATTAATATTTTTGAACATAGTCCCCCCCGGTGTTGATATCACTTTTATCAACACAAGTATTAAATTTAAAAATTTTTCTGGCAGGTCGTCTATAAACTCCGTGAGCCGTCCTAACATCGACTACACGTACAACATTATCTTCTGCCTTGTAGGTTTTGGTTATTACTCCAAGTGGCCACTGCCCTCTGGGAAAATCATTTTCATTTATTATGACTACATCTCCTTCTCTCAAGTTTTTATCTTCGTCATTCCATTTGCTTCTGGTAATTTGTGTAGCTAAATACTCTTTTAACCAACGTTTCCAAAATATATCTATTAAATATTGAGCTACTCTCCACTGTTTTTTTGTAAATGAATCTTCTTTGGAAAAAAAACCTGGTGAAGTTAATATTTTCTCAGAGTCCAGAATTAAGATATCATTTGGACTAATGCTAATTTTGTCATTTGGATCATCAGACACGTGTGTTAAAGGACGACTATTTATTATATATTCACATTCAGCGAACAAAGTTTGGAGAACTTCGTCTGTAGGATGTCTGTCACTCATAATCGCCGAAAGAGCTCTCTTGAAGCAGCCAATTAGACGCTCCCAGCTTCCTCCTTTCCATGGAGAAATTGGAGAGTTAAATTTCCAGGAAATACCTCTGCTTGTTACATCCTCAGCTACTTTCTCCAGTTGAAGTTCGTCTAAAGCTTCAAGTAGTTCTCTATTTGCACCTTTGAAGTTGGTTCCATTATCGGACATTATCACATTTACTGCGCCCCTTCTTGCTAAAAATCTGCGTATAGCCATTATGCAGGAGTCTGTACTAAGGGAATGGGCTATTTCTACATGAATGGCTCGCATCGTCAAACAAGTGAATAAAACGCCATACCGTTTTTCCAATCTTCTACCAACTTTTACTTGAAATGGTCCAAAGTAATCTATTCCCGTAGCCCAGAAAGGTTTCTTAAAACAGAAAAGTCTTTCTTTGGGCAACGATCCCATTTTTGGTTGCATTTGTTTTGCCTCTCGGCGTCTACATATTTGACAAAGCCTTACAGTCTTCTTAACAACTGATCTTATTCTAGGGATGTAGAAGTTTCTTCGCAGATTATTAATGATGGTCTCAATACCTTGATGAGCATTTTTTGCGTGCACATGTAATATCATCTTCTGCGTATATGGGTGAGAACCATCAAGAACTACAGGATCCACAGATATTATGGACGTTGTCGTGTTTATTTTACTTGTTCTACTTGAAATCCTAATTATATCGTCTTTGTCAAGATAAATGCACTGTTTTCTAAGTCTACCAGTTGTATTTTGATTATTTTTGTGGAGATTCTGTAAGTCAATCTTAAAACAAGTACATTGTACTAGTTTCCACCACTTAGTCTCAGCCCATTTAAGGGATTCACAAGGAAGGAATGGAGATTTTTCATTTATAGGAACTTTTTTTAGGATATCTAGTACTTGTTTAATTCTAGCAGTTATACGTAGTAATTTTATCCAACTATAATGGTTTTTAATTATGGGAAGAGCGTCTGAAATACATACAATTTTTACTTCTACGGATTCCATTAAAATTTCTTCTTTACTTATGTCTACATCTTGTGAAAATTGTGGCCAACTATCTTCTTTTTCGTAAAGAAACTTGGGACCATTTAGCCAGCAATCATTTATAGTGCTCCTTGAGGTACTTCTTGTGCATGCATCTGCTACATTGATTTCTGAAGGTACCCATTTCCATTCATCAGCAGTCGTTGTTTCCAAAATTTCTCCTACGCGAGTTGCTACAAATGTCTGAAGTTTTTTGTCATTATAAAGCCATCTCAAAACGGTTTTGGAATCAGACCAAAAATATTTCCTTTTAACATTTAACTTCAGGTTTTGTATAACTGTCTGCGATAAACGTGCCCCCATAACTGCAGCAAGTAGTTCTAATTTTGGAATTGTGAGTGTTTTAAGAGGAGCAACTCTGGCTTTGGAAGCAACTAAAGTTACTTGCATGTAATTGTCATATACCATACGAAGATAACTCGCTGAAGAATAAGCTTCTTCACTAGCATCTACAAATGTGTGTAGCTCAATGAAAGAAGCATCGTCTAATAATCGAAGACAATAACATCTAGGGATTTCAATTTCCATTGCCTTTTTCAAATCTCGTAGCCAGATTGCCCATTTTTGAAACATTTTATCAGTAATTCCGTCGTCCCAACCAACTGCGCTACGCCATATGGTTTGTAGAAGTATTCTGACTTTAATACTAATTGGAGACAATAAACCTAGTGGATCATAAACGGACATTGCTGTTTTTAAAACTTGCCTCTTTGTAGGAACTGACGATCCATCCAAAATATTTCTAGGAACTTTATTTAATTTAAGATTGAAATTAAAACTGTCTTTTTTTGAATCCCAGATCATGCCAAGAACACGTTCCTCGTTGGTTTTTTTGTTCACTTCTGTATTGACCTTCTCATTTAACAGATTTTTTGGAATATCTTTTAAAACTTCTTGTGAATTGGCAATAAAATTTCTAATTTCAAAACCTCCCTTGGCGTGAATATTTATGACGTTATTTATAAGTATTATTGCTGCTTCTTCAGAATTTGCGCCATCAAGCCAGTCATCTACATAATGATTATTAATAATGGCATCTACTGCTTTTGGGTATTGATCTTCAAACTGTCTAGCATTGTAGTTTTTAACAAATTGAGCTAGAAAAGGTGATGAAGTGGTACCGAACAGCATAGCTTTCATTCTGTAAGTGTTTGAAGGAGCATTTTTACCTAAATTGCGCCACAAGAAACATTGCGTGAAGGTGTCTTCATAATAGATATTAACTCTGTTAAACATCTCCTTTATATCCCCCGCAAAGGCTATTTTATGGATGCGAAATCTTATTAGAACTCCGAATAGTGGTGAGAGCATATCAGGACCCGTTAATATAAAGTCATTTAATGAACAACCGTGACTCTTTGCTGCTGCATCAAACACAACTCTTACTTTTCCTGGTTTATTTGGATTTATCACTGGAAAATGCGGTAAATACCAAATTCTTTTCACTTTTTCAAGTTCTTTTTGACTGACTGGGGTAGCATAATTTTTCTCTAATATTTTTTGGATTTCTGCTATGTAATGTTTACTTAATTGAGAATCTTTTGCCAATCGTCTTTCTAGACAAAAAAATCTTTGCATTGCAATCTTTTTTGATTCTGGCAGTTGTTGATCATTTTGTTTCCATGGAAGTTTAACCTCAAATTGGCCATTCACAAGTTTTATGGAATTTTCAGCAATAGCCAAGGCTCTTTCTTCTTCTTTGGAATGCGTAAAGTTTCGTTTGGTTTGTACTACACCAAAACTTTCGAGCTTCATATATGATGTTACTATACCATGAAGTTTTTCATCACATGGTTCGCAGCATACCACAACTACTTCTTCTTTCTGGTAGCCAATTTGATCATTACTTGTTGATCCTACGTACCCATGTAATGTCCAGCCGATTGTTGTTTTGGATAGAATAGGTCCATTTAAAAACGGTTGAATAGTCTGCCGCGAAATAATAAGATGTGCGTTATTCTGGCCTATTAGTAAAGTGGGTTGGGCTCTATCTTCTAGATCCACATCTACATTTTGTATAACACTACTGAAAGTATTACCAATAAAAATAAAAGGTCCCAATAAAGTAATCAAGATAACCGCATTACTAGATGAAGGAAGCACTACGACATTAATTGATTCGGAAATTGCTGCAGAATTAGGTTTAACTGGCCCAATTTCACCTTTATGTTGCAAATGGACTGGTGAAATATTCAGACATGATCAAGATTCCCAGATTGTACAGGCAAAAGTAGCAAATCAAAACTCTCCTACTTTTCATAAACTTCAAAATATTAGAACTGTCAGTGAATTAAATTTACCATGGCAACGATATGACTTAAAGCACCTGTTGCTAAGATTCCCCTTTATACAAAATGTAGATGTGGATCTAGAAGATAGAGCCCAACCCACTTTACTAATAGGCCAGAATAACGCACATCTTATTATTTCGCGGCAGACTATTCAACCGTTTTTAAATGGACCTATTCTATCCAAAACAACAATCGGCTGGACATTACATGGGTACGTAGGATCAACAAGCAATGATCAAATTGGCTACCAGAAAGAAGAAGTAGTTGTGGTATGCTGCGAACCATGTGATGAAAAACTTCATGGTATAGTAACATCATATATGAAGCTCGAAAGTTTTGGTGTAGTACAAACCAAACGAAACTTTACGCATTCCAAAGAAGAAGAAAGAGCCTTGGCGATTGCTGAAAATTCCATAAAACTTGTGAATGGCCAATTTGAGGTTAAACTTCCATGGAAACAAAATGATCATCAAC